AAGGGGATACACTCAAAATCGATCAAGTCCTGTATAAATTTGGAAGTTGCCTCTTCCAGTCTGGACCTTCAAACTTTCGCATCCCTTGTGGTAAGACTTAGATTGGTGTTACTACAGAGAGGTATTGGGACCCCTTGAGTGAAGCCAAATTGTCTAGCAAATTGTGCAGGACAATAGGGCTCAGCAATGCATTTGTAAGCTTTAGGGTTCATGGTCCCAATGAATAATTCTCTGGGAATTAAAATGGAGGCCCATATATCCTTGTGAACAGGTAAAGCACAGAGCCTATCACTTAGGAAATTCTTCAACCAAAGTGGGCCGATAGTAGTGGGTTCGAAGGAACGAAAGCAGTAGGAAAGACGAGAAGCTGAAAGTTGGTGGAAGAAAGAGAAGTAAAAAGCAAAAGTGGAAGGATAAAGAGAAGCATTGGCTAGCCTCATGCCATGAGTAGGAGGATCTGGTTCAAAAAATTTAAGGCATTTGGATTGTAACTCGGGAAAATAAGCAAAAAGCCAAAACTGAAGAATCCAAATCGGTCCCCCTTGATTGACATCTAAGGGTTTCTCACAAAAAAGAGAGCAGGCTCTGTATACGTGACCTAGAACGTATGGGACTAAAGCCACCCTCTTCTGTAAAACAAGGGCTTTGGCAAGAGGGGTAAATTCAGGCATAATTCTTTGAGAAGAAGTGTAGAAAATGAACTTACAAAGCCAATATAATAAGAAAGAAAAGAATTCCCTATCGGTCACAAGACCCTCCCTTCTATTCTCAGCCTTAACAAAGTTACTATAGGATGAGTTAAGAGAGGGGAGGGAAAAAGGGACTGCTAGGTCAGGATAATCTGATCCAATGAGAGTTCCAATGGGAGATAATCCTAAAAGATAGCAAATGTCAAGACCAGTAGGGGCCATCATCCCACATTTGAATTGGAAGAAATTAAAAACAGAATTCCAAAAGCACAGAGCAGCAGGAACTAAAAAAGGGTCCTCTGAAATGGTTAACCTGGATAATCGAAGGGCGTCGAGGAGGCAGAGTTCTTGAAGGTCCAGGGTCCTACTAGGGACAACTCGATCATACCATTCTTGCCACTCCGGTTTCACCGTGGACTAGCATCGGTGGGGGCGATTCGTCTTCCAGTTCCTCCAGTCAAGGCCACCTTCGTAAAGGAGACAATGGTCTTCCAGACGAGGGTATAGAGCTGAAAGCTCAATAGGAATCTCCTTGAATATGGGACCAAGCACATAGTCTTGTTGCACATGACGACGAGGAATGAAGATGCGTTCATCAATGGCACTTTTCTCCCCAGCTTTGTACTTTTCACATTCTGCATCAATGAGCCTTTTCAGGGCTACAGATGGGCTCGCACGCTCTACAACTAGCACTTTCAACGAGGAGGAAGCCATTGATAAAACGCTTTCTCAAAGGACAAAGCTGGAAAAGGGAGTAGAAAGAAGTGGGAGACGAATAGAGGTGAAGGGTTTTGTATGTTGAGCGAGCAAGTGATTTCAGAATGTGGAATAAAAGGATTTCAAAAGCCTTTATATCTGAAAGATATATCGCATAAATTCGTTAAGTACTAAAAGTACAAATACGAAGAATTTCTTTCAATATTGATACTCTTGGAGGGAAAAAACATATCCCAGATGTTGATACCAGCTTCGAAGTAGAATGTTTGGCTTTGAAGCCAGATTTTGGCGCTAAAAGTCAAATAACAGCGGCTTCGAAACTAAGAAGCCAGCTTCGACGCACATTCCATGCTTAAGAATGTAAGAATACTCAAATATTCATTTACATAGAAGGGGATTAAAGACCTATTTTTGGGCTTCTTAATGAAAACAATGACCTTCGAAGTGAAACTTGAGACCCCGTGAGGATGGAAATTGGTGTTCAAAACATAACACACTAGATTTTGGCGCCAAAAGTCCAATAACAACGGCTTCGAAACTAAGAGCCGGCTTCGAAGCGCATTCCGTACTCAATGGACACAAGAATGCTCAAGTATTCGTTTACTTCAAAAGGACTAAAGACAAATGACAGTGATGTTCTTCGAAGTAAAATTAGAAATTCCTTGGAAAGGGAAATTGGCATTCGAAACATCGAAACCCATAGTTGGTTTATATATATATTCAGAAAAGTTGACTTTTTGAACTAAAACAGTGCAGCCCTCAAAAGGAGCTTCCGTATTTTTGAAAATATGGACTGTTGTTCAAAACGAAAAAATCAATTTAAAATTGATTAATCTGCATTCCCTAAATTGGAAAAGTTCATGGTCGTGTTGTTAATGTTCATTTTAAACGATCGAATCCAGGTTCGAACGAAAAGATTGTTTAGTTCGAAGCTCTGGAATTGCTTTTAAAGACAAATAGAGACAAGATCAAACCATATCAAACAAAGAGAAGTCTTGTATTAAAGCAAAAGCAGTTACATTGAATGGCCTTATTTGGGTACAAACTTAAGCTCATAAAAAAAAGGAATGGAATAAATAACAAGATCATGAAATTTAGTCCAGCTATAATCAATGAATTTCTGTTCTTCTTTATTCTGTCCTCTATTTCTTCTAACATTGGCTGCATGAGTTGATGAGCTATCACTTCGTAAAAGAGTTCTTCAGCTTTTATTTCGAAAGCTGTTTCTCTCAATCCTTGTTCCAATTCGTCCATCTCTAAGTCATCTCAGTACGCAAAATCTTTGTTCTTAAAATTATCGAATTCTTCAATGAAGTTTTCTGCTTCATACTGGGCGTGAATTCGAAGGGACGAAAGTTGGTCTAAAGATCATGTAGTGGCCATAGAGGTCCGATGCCAGTGGAGAAGCAACGGAAGCTGGTCCAAAAACATGTAAAGTTCTGATTGGGCAAGGGATTGAGAACATGACCCCGAGTCAGAATATCACAAGCCCACCAAAGGTTCTTGAGAGGAACTTCGTCCTCAAGAACATTGAAAGGCAAATGAGAGAAAGCCGCGAGCAGAAGTAGAGCTTGTTTCCGTTCAGTAGGAGTGAGAGAAGGTGGAGGCTTGTAAGGTGGAAAGATCTTATCTACAGAGAGAGCAAGCCTCAATCTCTCTATCCAACGAGGATGGGGCAGGGGAGAATGTGTGGATGCTTCTATTTCAGGAGGTGGAACAATGGTAGAAGGAACAAGGGCATTAATATAATCAAGCCAGTCAGAAGAACAAATCTTCGCCTTCTGGGCTAAGAATGATAGATTGTACCCTTGTGCCTCTTCTAGGCGTCGGGTGGCGTGCACTATCTTTGTAGGCATGGAGGATGTATACCATGCCACAAGCAGATTCTACTCCAAACTACGTCGATGGTCAATGGGCACGTAAGGATAGACCACCGAGCTTCGTGCATAAGAAGGGAACTCCAAAGGGTCAGTAAATTCGACAAAGTGATGGTTAATTCGTTCCCTCAAATCACAAGACTCAGGCTTTGACCAACTTGTCCAGTTGGAAGCACCAGAAGAGGAAGAAGTTGCAGCCTTGTCCCATGCGGAGGATTGTGAATAAGACTTTCCCATGTCCATATTTGCAACTTTCTGAATTAAAGGATTGAGAGCTATTTGTTCGTAGTCCAAGGGTGAGACAGAAGAAGGACCTCCCATGTCCATATTTGTGAGTTTCTGGATCGAAGGATTAAGGGCAATATGTTCGAAGTCCAAGGATTGATAATTTGCAAAGGCATCCATGACCTGAATATAGAAAGGTGGGTAAAGGTGGCTAATAAATGCATGGACGTTCTTTCGATGAGGAATAGCATCGACATATGACTCTTCGTGTGCTCGATCGTTGGAGGAAAAAATTAATTCGGCCAAAAAATGTATCAGTCTGTTCGAATGCTAAGACGGTGGAAGTGTTCAAAGGATTAAACAAGAGTTTAATACAGATGGTGAGTGACAGTTGCATTTCTAGAAAGATGCAAAACCCATGCACGTTCTAAGATGTAGGAAAAAGACCCTGATCCACTAATATCACCAAATCTTGGGTATAATAATGAAATAATTTCACTGTAAAATTGAGATCTAGCAAATCTGAACTCGTCCACCCCACTTTAACTTGAAAACATTATTCAATGAGAGTCTGGGATCAGTTACTCCCAATTTCTCAAAATTATGTTTTAAAATATTCATTAGATTATGATTTGAGTTATCTATATGATTAAGGACAAAATTACGAGATGAAATAGTCCCTATCAATTATGATTGTTCAAATTAAAAATAAAAACCCAATATATCATCTTCCTATCTTAAAAAAAAATAATAATAATAATGGGTTAAAAAAAAAAAAAAACTCAAATTTTACTTTTTCTTATCATGATTGATTAAAGATGAACTTTCAACCAAGACAAGGGTCCCGGTTTGATATAAAATTAAATTAATTAGGTATTAGTAATCATATGATCAGATTATATTATCTTTAAAAATTTGAATAATTTATTCTCAAAATTATATTTATCATCTATTTTTTTTAATGATAAGTATAATCCAATTATGTAGATATCAACCTAATTTTTATTTTTACGACATGTATAATCCAATTATATAGATATCAACATAATTTCCATTTTTATGACATGCATAATCCAGTTGTATGACCATCAACAACTGATTAATTTATTTTACTTTTTATAAATAATTTTTTCAATGAATCCTTGTCGAAAATAAATTATTCTAATTTTTATAAATGAGGACCTTCCCGATAGATTTTACAAAAAAAAATATATATTTGTATCGAATAAGTTTATATGTACAGAAACTATTAACTGAGTGGTCTGTATCCTATCTGTGAACGATTTTTTTTTTTTTTTTTTGTGGTTCCAATCCAAGCTTAATTGATCTGGAACATGGTTGGTTGGTTGGTTCAAGATGAGGCCCATCAAGGCCCATGGTGGGATCCATGACCCTACCCCATTCAGCCCAATCACTGCCCGTAAATATCGGGCAGCTCATTGACCGCGTCACTCCTCTAGTCCCTCACAGGTCTCAGCATCTTCAACTCTTCTGACTTTCAAAAATCAGACTATAAATTCAGAGGAATTGATCGATACACATCACCATATATATATATATATATATTGATTTCTATATAGATTTGTGTAATAGTAAATCCATTAATTTCAACCTACTTGATCTGAACTCGTGAGATTGATATCAAACATAGAAATGAACTCAAAGTTAGTTCTCTGATCTTGATTCTTGAACTTATAGTTCGATTTCTGTTTGGTATTTCGATTTCTAGGGCACAGGAAAAATGTGGAGGCTCGCTCGATCTGCGGCGTCGAATCTCCCCCGTACACGGCGGTTCTCGACGTCAATCCCTGGTCCGTGTATAGTTCACAAGCGTGGTGCTGATATTCTTCATGATCCATGGTTCAATAAGGTCGATCTTTATCTTTATTTGCAGCTCATGATTGTGATACTAGAAAGTTAAATTTCCTGATTTTTCTTGGTTATTTGTGGTGTGATCTAAGAAAATTTTGTCAAATTTCTACATATACAAACGGAATTTTGTACATAATTTTCGTATAAATTTATGTGTCTTCTTGGTTCCTTCATTGCCAATCAACACACATCACTGGACTCATAATTTAAAGAAGAAAATATGTATTAAAATTTGTAGGGCAAATTTAACTTGACCCCCTTTTGCTTTTGCCTATGTGTGGATTACCCATCTTATTTGGAAATAACCACATCATTCAACTTAAAAGAAAGTGTGAAACACATGTCAGACTTAAAAGGGGTTAGAGCAACTCCAACGGTGACGCATTGGAGCTGCTATTGCTATAAAATAGTATGGAGTTCACTTTTTTCATCTCCAACGGTGAGCTATCAGAGCTGCTAAATTATACCTTTATTATATCTTCCGTCAAATTTAGAATCAGTGTTACCTATAGTTAAAACTGACAGCGCAACAATTTTGGAGGTTCGGTGGTTGACGGGGTGGTTGACCACTTAGTAGAAATTGCAAGGTGCAGAATTTTGAAGCCGCCGGTTGTCCGGTCGGTCATCTGGTTTAGCTAAAAATAGCAATTTCACCATTGGAGGAACATTGCTATTCTATAACTTTTTTGCACTATTCATTGTTAAATTATAACTTTAGCTATCCTTTTTACCAATTGGCCGTTGGAGTTGCTCTTATAAGCTCATTTTCAAATTTTAATGGAAATCGCACATGAAATAAAGTGTCCAAGACAAGTGACGAAAGTATCAATAGTTCACACACTTAGTTACTTATATATATGTATGAATATTTTAGTCTTTTTCTTTGAGTCATTAACGGGTCTAATGTTCAATTCACAAAACACAAGGGGTCTGTGTGGTTATTTCTAAATGAGAGTAGAGTAATTTGAATATGGACTAAACCACAAGGTGATAAAGTGAAATTTGCCCAAATTTGTGAAAGTGTTTAAGAATAGGTACAAAGTGTGGGAAGGGAATCATCATTTCTTATTTTCTTTTTTGATTTTTCTTCTTTCATGTTGTTCTTTTTGGTTCCAAAAAGCAGGATACTGGCTTCCCTTTAACAGAAAGAGATCGTCTTGGGCTCCGTGGTCTCCTCCCTCCTCGTGTGATATCATTTGAGCAGCAATATGCACGTTTCAGTAAGTTTGCTATCTATTGTGATTTCTTTTTGGGACAGTTGTACATATAATTTTTATTTTGTTAATCTTTATATTTTCTAGTCATGCTATGTATATCTTATTCAAAACTAATCACTGTGTTTGGTTGTGGTTTTTTGAATATGGTTTTTTGAAAATTTTATACAACTTGTTTGGTTATTCTAAAAAATGAGTTATGTTTTCAAAAAAATAAATGAGATAGGTAGGCTTTAGTAAAATAGGTACATATAGGTAGGCTTTAAAAATGAGATAGGTAGGTTTTAGTAGAATAGGTACATATAGGTACATATAGGTACATATATGTATGTATATATATATATATATATATTTAAAAATTTAATAGTAGATAGTTGTCATGCACATTTCTCGCCAAAAAAAAAAAAAAAAAAAAAAAACAATTTTAACCAATCAAAAGGCAAAGGGGTCGTGAGGGTCCCTTTGAAAGGGGGTCTCAGTCTTTTTTGATTTAAAAAATCTGAGAGAATGTTTTGATGTGATTTTTTTGTGTTTTTTTAATTTTTCAATCATTAATTTGGAGGGAAATTTGAAATTATAATGATATATTTTTTTGAAAACCAAACAAGCATTTTTTTTCAAAAAACAGTTTTCAAATCATTTTTTCAAAATTTTTTTCAAAAAACGGCAACCAAGCATGCTGAATGTAATATAAAGTCTATACTAAACTTGGGTTGTAACTCTGTGCCAAATGGTTAGTGAGATCTGAACTTCAGAAGAGCCTTTCCCATGGATGCTTGTCACAAGTACAAAGATATTTGATCTAAGATTCTGAATGAGTTAGTGTCTTTTTCCTATATCCAAATGCATAGCATGTGGTTTGACAAACTAGGGAAGTCTACCAAGCTTGTTATTGGTGTGGATAGGCTCTTAGGATCTTGTGCTTTATAAATTACTATATATCTTATTGTTGATTCTTAAAAGCATTGGTGGTCAGGGTTCTTTATATGTTTTGTAGGAATGTGACTGGCGGTTGGTGATGGAAGAGAGGGAGAAGGTTGAGAGCACATAGCCTCATGTAAATTGAAGATATGGACCGTTTTGAGTCTCTCTCTCTCTCTCTCTCTCTCTCACACACACACACACACAAACACAAATGTGTGCATACACAGACATTCGGATTAGCTATTATAGCCTTGACTTACAAGTTACAACCATGTCTGCCAATGCACACTTGCAAGGTCATAACCATAGGAAATAACTAATAAGATAGTTCATTTGTCCTTTAGAGATTAGTGTTCGTACAAATCCCTCACCGACACCTAACCGTCTATCGGTTGTGGCCCCTAACTGGTGCCAATAGTGGTGTATTACTTAGGATGTCAGAAAAATTTCAAATGAAGATTTCATTTTGTTTTACCAAAGATTGTTTTTCTTGTTTTAGATTTGAGCAAAGCGTTTTTTCAGGAAATGTTAACTTTTGGTTAAGGTTGTTTCCGCTCATAAAGGTGCTACTAATATTTATCCAGTTTGGTGAGAAAGAAATGGTAGTCATAGTTAGATGAGTATAGATTTGCAACCCAATAGGCCATGTCTACACCACAAGATTTCTGTTCGAAGGAATGCTTATAGGTCTTGTAATAAGGTCACAAAGCTAATTATTTGGACGAATCACTCCCTTTATATGGCCTCTTTTAGAGCTCAGAAAGTTTTTCCCAGTATTTGGTCTCACTGGTCTTGCCATAATTAGTTTGCATCTTGAGGAATCTCTTCCACTTTCACATCCACATCTTCCACCACTTTCTTCAAAGATTGCATTTGCAAACAAATTTTTGGTGATGCTGTTAGTTGCAGAATGTTGTGATGAATGTTAAATAGCTCTTGTGATGGTTTATTTTATAAAGTATTGCAACTATTTTCACCTTTAGAAAACCTTACCTCATATGTATTCGAGCTTGTGATCTTGTGACCCCCAGCTTGTCATATTATGAAATGATATGGCAGATCACCACCCATGTGGCATCGTTGGGTGAGTGCTCTTATAATCTGTAACTCTGCTTCTGCTTAATTTTGATGAATACGATAAACTTAATCAAGTGGAATAAGTAGATGATATTCAGTATTGCAAGATTGCTCTAGATAAAATTTAATATTTGTTAAAGAGAAAAAAAGATGCATGCTAATTATAAAGCAAATAGGAAGGGAGATTATTGAATATTGCAAAGATTTGGCATGCTGTATGGTTTTAGACTTTTTTTAGGTGTGCTCTCTTTCTAATTTATATCAGGTAGTTGCCCTTACAATTGAATCCAAGTGTGCAAAGAAAACACCATGGTTAGATTGATTACTGAAGTATGGAAAAATGCACAGATGAAAATTAAGTTGTCTGTGACCATGCAATTTGAGTTTGTAGTTTAAGTTTATTATTAGAGTTAGGACACCTCCTAGGTAGAGCTCTCATAAATATAAATAAATAAATAAATAAATAATTTTGCATGTGAGATAGTGGAATTATCTATTTTATCTGTATACCCCCAACCCGTAGTCAAAGTTGTTAAAATCGGGATTCCAGGTAGGATCATTGGGAGGGATTAATGGATTGGATCGTAGAATTAGATCGAGAATCGTAAGATCCTACTCTTAATGCAAAATAAAATGAAAAATTATTGACAATGACAATCTTTGTTACATAATTTTAAAAAGATTAAAGAAAATTGATAAATTTGATATAATGTATATTCTGTGTTAACATAAATTAGAGAAGACATTTGAAAAATGAGTTTATAGTCAAACTATACACATATATATAAGAAATAAATAATAACAAAAAAAATTGGTAGGATCGGGATCAAAATAGAATCAGGATCGTATGCGATTCTACATCATTTTATGATTAGGATCGTAGTGACTTTAAGATCCTACTAAATTTAAGATTCTAGTGTGATCTAGATCGTTTTGCCCAACTGACATCGTAGAATCGTGAGATCCTACAATCTGGATAGGGATTCGGTTAACTATGCCCCTAGTACTAACCTAGAGACATTTTGTTGATGCGGATTGGGCTTTGAAGAGATCTCTCCTCCATAATGTACATTTTTCCCATTCTTTTTCACTTTTCCTTTTTCTCTAATATATTTCGGTGGTGTTACATACACCAACTAGTATAGTGTTTTGACATTATTACTGACCCCACCTATTATACAAATTACAAGTACTCAAAACCTCTAAAATTGTGTTACATCATCTGTTAGTACACTAGTTAGTACACTAATTGGTGCATATATCATTATTCAATATATTTTGTTTCTAAAAGTAATGGTCTTGATCTTTTGTTGTTTGTCTTGTTAGTGGAGTCATATCGATCACTTGAAAAGAATACTCAAGGCCAAGATGATAGTTTTGTGTCCTTAGCAAAATGGAGGATCTTGAATAGATTGCATGACAGGAATGAGATTTTATACTACCGAGTAAGTTTGGTGGCAATTATCAGCTTGTAAACAATTTAAGTGATTTAAGAATTAATTATAATCTCTCTTTAGCTGGAGAGAATCTAATTCTAATATGAAGCAATGCTATTTTGCTATTGCTTATCTTTCCAGGTCCTTATTGATAACATTGAGGATTTTGCTCCAATAATATACACTCCAACAGTAGGATTGGTATGTCAAAACTATTCAGGGTTGTTCAGACGCCCACGGGGAATGTACTTCAGTGCCAAAGATAAAGGAGAGATGATGTCCATGATCTATAACTGGCCTGGTCATCAGGTATTTTGGAAATCTAGAGTGCATTAATGTACAGTTTTATTCTCTATTTTGCTTTCACCTTCTTGTTGGTGATACATTTACAGTGTTTTGTACTTATACCACATCAGATGGTAAACAAAACATGGCATAAGAATGTTTGCTGTAGCATTATTGTTTTCTGTGTGATACCTGAATAATGAATATATACATTGATTCACTACAAAATGAGCATTTTTTCTTGCTTTCTGTATTGCAGGTTGACATGATTGTCTTGACAGATGGCAGTCGCATTCTTGGTCTAGGTGATCTTGGGGTCCAGGGAATTGGAATACCCATTGGAAAACTCGACATGTATGTCGCGGCTGCTGGTATCAACCCACAGAGAGTATGCTCTACTCATCCCTCTTTATTATGTACAGGTTCATGCAAGCATACCACTCATAGGTGTGCACTAAAATTAAATTGGTATACAAGTGTGCATCAATGCATAAACACCTGTGCACACTGACAAGTAAATGCATGCATTAGTACTGGGCTGACTCACAGATACTTACTATGCTTGATATGGATCACAGCACATTGTTGTTGCATGTATCATGTGTAGAGAAGGTTACCTATGCTTGCTTATATGTTGGTTATGTTGATATGTTTTCATGCCTTGCAAATATATTTCTATTGGCTATTTTTCATCCATGTGGATATTATATTGATGAAAGTGCATATATATGAGATAGAAGGGTAGATGCGTAAAGAATTGATAGTAATTTCTTGTCTACCTGATCTCAAAGATACTAATAACTATGATATCCTAAGAAGCACAGACACTTCTAAGAAGGTGACGTATCCGTGTGGTGTCCGTGTTGGACATTGACACTCTTTGGACACTTTCCCGACATGTGTCTGATACTCTTCAAAACGTGTCTTATTTTTTAATTTTTTTTAGAAGTCCGGACACTCTTTGGACACTTGGAGGACACACACTTAAACACACGTATCTATCGATTAGACATGGGTGAAACTAATTATAAGTTTGAACAAAACAATTTAAAATACAATAATAAAACAAAAATCATATAAATTTGTAGGAATTAGTGTCATATTGCAACTTTTTATTATTTTTAAATGATATATTCATATATATAACATATAACAAATATATAAAATTATAGATTTTATGCGTGTCCCCCACGTGTCGTGTCCTGCATATTTTGAAATTTGGCTTGTCTATGTCGTGTCTATGTTGTGTCCCGTGTCCGTGTCCGTGTCTGTGCGTCTTAGATGATATCTATTATCTTATATTTATATCCAGTTTTGGACTAACTTTTTTTTCCCCTTTCATTCTGCTGTCTTCTATACCAATCTAGCTGCATTCATATTCATCTATGACAGATACTTCCAGTTATGCTTGATGTTGGTACCAACAATCAAAAGCTTCTTGAAAACCGTCTTTGTGAGTAGAAACATATTGACTTGTTAGCTGTTTATTTTATGTTCAGTGGTTCCTTTTCTTCATTTAATTTTTCTGTTGTTTCAAAAATCTGCCTTTACTCATTATTTCATACTTCATAAAAGGCTAATGGCTGCATTTTTGGGACTGAATATATTCAATCTGATCACTTGCTCTTTAACATAATTGATTGTTATCTCTCTTACAGACTGTAATAGGCCTTGAATACTGCAATATTGGATGTCTCTCTCTCTCTCTCTCTCTCTCTCTCTCTTCACACATGCAGAGAGGAGAGGTGAAGTTGCTTTGTGCTAATTGAAGTTTCATGCATCTCCTTCATTTGGTTGTCTGCTTTCTCAATATCTGTGATTATTTTGCTGTCATAGACACATGTTTTAAGCAACATGCTTGTTCCCTTGTACATATAATATTATCTACCTTATACAATAGAAATGTTTTGCTGATGGTGGTATACGTGTTCGTATCTGATGATTCTGAGAACTCTATGAAACTTAGAAAAATCTTCTCAGTGGAATATTCTTGTCAAATGAAGTTGCTGTGAGCCTGGACAAGTATTTGTTGTCATCTTTTGAGGGTACTATGCAAATGAACTATGATAATTATACTATAAAGCTTCATTGGTGCTGATTGTGTAATATAGGTAAATAAAATTTCCCTGATTGAGTAATGTACTTTAAGACAAAGTGACTAGGATAGCGTAGGATCTTTTTTGTTTATTAAGCAATAGAAAAATATGGAAGGAACGGTCAGTGACTCTGAAATGGGTTTCGGCAGAACTGCTAAAGTCCTTTCTGATAAAAGCAATAATACAAATTTCTTTGAAAAAGATTATATAATCCAACTGATATAGAAGTGGATGTAGCACTTTGTATATTTTTCATTTCTCTTGACTTAAATTCAACTAGAAGACATTGAATCCTGATAGAATTAAGCACTTCATTTTGTTGAGGGTGCTAATTGCAGATCCAGAGGTGCTTTCAAAAGATAATCATAATTAATACTTAGAATCAACTTTAACATGGGTAAAACTTCTAATATTTAATTATTTAATATTACTCTTTATATTGTGAATTCAGATTTAGATCCAACAGAACTTGAAGTTAAAGTCTAACAAAACTACAGATGTAAATAAGAATCACCTCATTAGATATGTACCTACATATATATCTTTGTTTTTTGGGATGAACTTACCTAAAGAAACAAGAAACGAAAATGCACTGAAAATAGAAACCATGGAATTATGGAAACAATCATGTGGTCATCTAAACGTACATAGAAAGCCCAAGAGTGTCTAGTTATTACAACCAAATTATTATCATTCAAATGGAGTTGTATGTTATTTATCAAAAAATAAAATAATATAAATGGAGTTGTATAAAAAGGCTATAATACTTCCATCTGTTGTAATATTGATTTCCATATAAATTCCATCACCACAAAGGTTTCAAGTCTAATCTTTTTTACTTGTTTACAATTGTTTCTTGTCAATTATTTTCATAATTTTCTTATTTTGTAAGAAAGACATCATGAACCTCTCAGATTTGAAAATAGTGACTATTTACTTGTATGAAGTAGGATTTCCCTTGTTATATTTCATTACTTACACCTTAGGTTGGACTTACAACAATTTTAAACATTGAAGTTCATTCATGCTTATCCATTCTTAACATTCATTTATGCTGAATGTACTCTATTTCGTTCTCCATATTTTCTAATCTTTAAGCAGAGTAAGTAGACTACATAACTGCTTGTGAACCAATTTTTTCTGACGAACTACGTGAGGATTTATTTTTCACTTGATTTTACTTTGATAGATTTGGGACTTCGGCAACCTCGGTTGGAAGGAGAGGAGTATCTATCAATTGTTGATGAATTTATGGAGGCAATTCACGCCCGTTGGCCCAAGGCTATTGTGCAGGTTTAGTTCTTTCAGAAATATGACATCTTGTTTTATGTGTAACCAATATCATACTGATTACTTGATGCTTGGCGAATATTATCAGTTTGAGGATTTTCAAATGAAGTGGGCTTTTGAAACACTGCAACGGTATCGAAAAAGGTTCTGCATGTTCAATGATGACATACAGGTGAATACTTGGTGTTGTATTCCGCTATTCTCCATGGAAATAGTAAATAATATAATAAGACAAAGTACTTTAAGATTGTTAAGGGTGACTCTATTATAATGACATTTTTGTCGCTTGTCATCATGTTGTATAGGGAACTGCTGGGGTTGCACTGGCAGGACTACTTGGAACTGTAAGGGCACAAGGTCGACCATTGACTGACTTTGTGAACCAAAAGATAGTGGTAGTTGGAGCTGGAAGGTACTGATGAAGTTCAACTGTAATGGCTGTACTCCTGCTTTAAGTATTACTTCTTTATGGTTTAGGGTAGTTGGTAATATCAGCTGTGAGTTGCATCTTCTTATTCTTTTTTCTGTCTTTCAGTGCAGGGCTTGGTGTTTTTAACATGGCTGCACAGGCTGTTTCGAGAATGGCAGCAGCTGAAACACATCCTCAGTTTTTCCTACTTGATAAAGATGTGTGGTTCTACAGATATCACTTGCTCTCTAACTTTTTAGTTCTTAATGTCAATTACCATATTAGTCTTTATTTTGGGTTACTGGGTATTTATCTTCTAATAAAATGTGGAGAACATGTGTTTGAACACATTTGCAAAGAAGGAGATTTTTAATTTTTTTTTAGTGTTATCAACTGACTTTCACCTTTTTTTCAAAGTAATGATAATCAATTACTTATCTGCGTCTAACTGAATGAATTGTGGGAATGAATCTGCATTGGAATGAGAAGAAAAACTCATAATATGGCAATCTGAACTTTATCATTTCATTTACATTTTCAGGGAATCATCCATTTGACTTTTGGTTCATCTTTATTTGAGAAGTACTGGTTAAATGCAGGGTCTCATTACAACGGAAAGGAAGGTTGTTGATCCAGCAGCTGCACCATTTGCTAAAGCCCCTGGGGAGATCGAGGGTTTGGGACTTAGGGAGGGAGCAAATCTCGTTGAAGTGGTAAATCTTACTGGACTGTTTTTTGGCAGCCTATGTTGGTGCAAGGATGATATAGATTGATATTGTGTGGAAAAGAAACCTTTGGTTGTTTAGCTTGCTTCTTGGGTACATGCAATTGGCTCAAGGATGTTTGCTGTTATCTTTCAGAACATTGTGTATGCCTTCATATTTTAGAAAAACTAATTTCGGGGAATGGGTTTTGTTTAGGTTAAAAAAGTCAAGCCTCATGTACTTCTTGGTTTGTCTGGAGTTGGCGGTATCTTCAATGAGCAGGTGGGCACCCCCTTGAGTTTGCTTTGTCCTTCATTACTTTCAAATGAAGCATAATGAACCAGTGAAGTTGGTTTAGTTTTATTTGGAAAGGCATGTTGTTCTGTACTATTTATTTGGTTAGTTGTTGATAAATGGTATTAGTTGGGGAAAATATATTAACATTTAACTCTGTTGCTTTGCAAGTTTGTTTGTTCTTGTTTCCTAGATGTAGGCAATTCCTTTTAGAGATGGTCTTCATTAACCCTATTATCATTTTACTTTTCCCAACTTCTGCTAAATAATCCAATTCCTACAAAAAGCTTACAATTATTTATTATTAGGATAAAGGAGCATACCTCATCAAGATGTCATTTGCGGTCATCACTATTAGTTAAATCCACTTGGCTCAACTCAACAAAGACCTAATTTCAACCTCTTGGGATTGCCTACATGAATATTTTCCCAAAACACTCTCTATAAAGCAATATCTCAGTTAAATCCATGGCAATTACATTCTTTCTGACTGCATCAACCCTTTTTCTTTTTTAACTATCCTCTTGTGTTAAATGACACTTTCTTTACTCTACTTTTATGGGTGTTTTTTCCTCAATTTACTAATCCTTGCATGCACAATTTTGGCTTTTTTCATAATTAAATACCATTACTGTATGGCTGGCTATGTTTGAAAAACCATTCTCCACTTAGTGTCTAGCTGCAAGGCACTAAGCACAACAATGGCAAAGTGTATCCTCTTTTTGAGCTTGGTAAAGCGTATGTCTTCTTTGATAATCACATTCCTTATTTTTGTCGCTTGCGCATAAATCAGGTGCTTAAGGCCATGAGAGAGTCAGATTCCCCTAAACCTGCCATATTTGCAATGTCAAATCCGACGATGAATGGTTAGTCTTTCAAGCCTTCTAAATTATCTGTATTTTATTTATGGAACGCACTATTTCTCTATTGAACATTGTCTTGCCATGTTAACTGGAACAGCTGAGTGCACTGCTGTTGATGCTTTCAATCATGCTGGAGAAAATATAGTTTTTGCAAGCGGGAGCCCTTTCAAAAATATTGACCTTGGTATGGTTTCTTTATATTGGTGCTTATTGTTGTGGAGTGTTTTTGCACAGTATCAATAAATTAATTGGTCTCATTGTGCTCTCTCATTATGTAGCCAATGCAACCAACAGTTCTATAGTTTCTAAGTGTGTGTCTTCCTCAGTGTGTTGTCCAATTACTCTGACCTTTGCCAATCATATACTTGTTGTCAGGGAATGGAAAAGTGGGCCATGTAAATCAAGCAAATAACATGTATCTGTTTCCTGGGTTAGTGCTAATGTTCGCGTCACTGATATTGTGCTTAGTTTTTTACGACAACTATCATAAACCTTTTTGACTTGATTCAGGATTGGGATGGGAGCTCTTCTTTCAGGTGCTCGTTTGATTTCAGATGGGATGTTGCAAGCAGCTTCTGAATGGTATATATTACACAATTTGACCACTTCGTTTTATGGATTTGTCCCGTGCTCATCCATTCTTATTGGATTGTTAACTTTGCCCTCATGAAATGAGGTGGCACTTGTTACTGTCATGTGTTGCCATATCTATAGTGTCGTAAGTGAGTCATATGAAGTAAAGAATAAAGTAAGACCATATGTTTGTTTGGTGTGTTGGGTCTAAAAGAGTCCTTTTGAGTGCTATAAAAAGAGTGTTGGGGCTAGAGGTGCCTCCATCTCCTGCCAGGCTTGTATTATGTAATTATTGGTTTATACTTGCTTATTTATTGTTGATTTTTATTATATAGTTATTGGTTCAATTTTTGATAAAGGAAGAAAAATGTTTGCATGGTGTTAACCCAATATCAGCTAACTTTTGCTAATATAATTTTTCTCTGCAGCCTTGCTTCATATATTACAGACGAAGAAATTCAAAGTGGTATTTTGTATCCTCCTACAAGAAGGTATTGTTGTTCTTAGCTCCATTGGAACATTAAAATTTTCATATATATTTGTAAGTCAGTTGGACACTAGCTCACTAGGAAGCACAGATCACGTTTTCATACATATTTGGAAGTCAATTGGACACTTAGCTCACTAGGAAGTATGGATAATGATACGGATACGGACAAGGACAAGGACACGGGACATGACGATTTCAAAAAAATCAGAACACAGACACGGTCACACAGCGAGGATACGACAAAAAAATATAATTGTTTTATATGTTTTTGTTTTCTATGTATGTAAATATTACATTCACAAAAAACTAAAATTAATGAAAACCAACACTAATTTAACAAATATATAAAAAAAAAAAAAACTAAATGTAAATTATCTAGAGACTACATATATTTTTGCGTTAGGCTCGAGAGATCATTAGAAGCTTGTTTCTCAACTTCCCACCTGTGGTTAGATCTATATTGCGTTGTCGATAGTTGGATATGAGTTCTTTATCTATATTTTAGAATTCAGCTCTCATGTTTCCAACTTCCAAGCATTATAATATGACCCCCAAAATTAGCTTTAAAAAATTAAAATAAGACACTACGTGTCCCCTGGAAAAATTATTATAAAAATGCCATGTGGCATATCCATGTGTCCGCGCCGTGTCCGTGTCCGTGTCCCAGTCCCAGTCCCATACATATCTAACACGGCTATGACACCTATTTTGAAGTGTTGGTGCTTCATAGCTAGCTCATATACTTGTATTTTCTAGTGGGTAAGGTTCAACGTATTACGCTAAGTGTGCACACCTAATAGCAGCACGGAAAGTTGTTCTCTTGTCAATAGGTTTTGGATATAGCTTGTTAAAGCACAATCAATAATCACTAATTGGGTTAGTTTTCATTATGCAAAGACTACATACCCACTGATATTGGATAGGACTCTGACCTTGTGAGTGTGTGAACCTCAAAGCCTTTTCAAATTGTTTTGACTGCATGGCTAATACTACAATCAAGTTTTCTTTTCTCTTTATTTAAAGTATCCATAATTAACAAACCCGACCTCTGATTTCATGGGTTGGATGATTGGATGTGCTCATCAATGTCCCTAAATTGGATCTATTCATTATATATCCCTAACCAGGTCTTGTAAAATTTGCAAAGAAAATATTCTCCATTTGGGGACATCCTATGAATGAATTAGTAAAATAAAGGTAAAGTAACCTCTACTAATTTGTTTTTGCTGTGACCTACTTATGATTGCAGTATTCGAGATATAACAGCAGAGGTTGGAGCTGCTGTTGTTCAAGCAGCAGTTGCCGAAGAACTGGCAGAAGGACGCTGTGATGTGGGACCCAGAGAGCTCAGGCAGATGTCAAAAGTATGGATAGTTCTCAACTTTCTTACAAGAAAATGCATCTCTTTTTAATAAAAATAGCCATGGCATAACATGCACAAGCACATCTGGACAAGAAAAAGAAGCTTTAATATTTGACAATGAAAGCAACCTCACATTTAACCTCAAAATAAAGCAATTCAGAATACTATTCTCAACTCAACTAAGCAAGTTAGTTATTCAGTTATTCTCATTGTTAATCAGGGACGGCGCTAAGCTATAGAGTATGGGGTTAATTGACCCCATCTGCCAATTTTGAAAATTTGCTTGAAAAAATATTTTAAATATTTATTTTGTCTATTTACACTGATTACTTTGTTGGTTGCACCCATACATTTGTTTGTTGCAAACCCCAAGGGGTTGGCTTGGTGGCAAGGCCTTGGCTTTTGGGTGTGTGTGATAAGGAACAGACCTTACATGATGTAAATAAGAAAGGAAATGTTAGTGTACCATAGGTACTGTGTATTGTATGTAGAGTAGTATTACTAGTGTAACTGAATATGGTTAGGTTAGTGTTAGTGTTTAGTTAGTTAGGTTAGGTATATAAATATTACAGCTACTGTATAATGGTTTCTAATCAATGAATACACTTCTATATTTCTTCATGGTATCAAAGCGGGTATGAGCTCCAATGAGTGACTCTGCGATCGTGATCTCTGATCATCATCTCCAAATCTCCGATTGTCTTCCAATTATCTTCTCTAATCACCGACCATCTTCTTTAAATCATCTCAATGGCTGAAAATTCTTCAGTTCCTTCCACGATTTCTTTGATCTCGCCTTGATCTTCTCAAATTTGTCTTTGATTTCTTCAATTCCTGAGAATTTGAAGATTCTGATATCAAATCTTGGTTTGCTAGTCACCGTTAAGCTGGATTCTACAAACTTCTTGCTCTGGAAAAGTCAGGTGCAAAATCTTCTTTGGCAACCGACCTATTGAAGATTGTTGATGGTTCATATCTTTGCCCTAGTTTGATGATCCGTGATTCCTCTGGAACAGAGGTCTTAAATCCTGAATTTGTTCAATGGCGATGCTTGATGCACACCGTCTGAGTTGTCTCATGGCTACTCTTTCTCCAACCATTCTTGCCTCTGTTCTTCATCTTCAATCAAGTTCTGAGGTTGTATTTTCTTGATAAGAAGTTCACATCATTGTCACGTTCGCATCTGCGTCAACTCAAGAACAAACTAAATTCCATTTCCAATGGCACAGATTCAATGGAAACATATTTGCATCAAATTAAAGAAATCTTTGATCAATTGCTCATATCTTCTGCAACAATTGATGATGAAGATGTCGTTCTCATTACTCTCAATGGCTTGCCTATGGAATATGATGCTTTTAAAATGGCTATTCGTGCCCATTCTGAGAAAATTTCCATGGAAGAACTCTCCTCTTTGTTGTGCTCCGAAGCTATTCATGTTGAGGGCAAACTGAAGCACACTTCGGATTTGACAGTTACATATGCCACACTGAAAGATTCCACCACTTCTTCAAAAGGTTTTACGGCATATCACCATGGTCAAGGTTCCTCTCGTGGTGGTTCTAGAGGTTTTTCTCATGGTCCTCGGTCCTCCTATGGCAGATTTTTGCCTCGTGGCCGATCTACAAATCGTAACAATCCTACCTATGGCACAATTTGCCAGATGTGTGGCAAAACTAATCACTCTGCTCGAGTGGTGTTATTGTCTAGATGCGCAGTTTCAACCCTTTCATCAGTCTCCCTCTTCACATCAGTCTTCATCTTCTTCATTTCTGCCTCCTCCATCCTCATCAAAGGCTTATGTTGCTGCCCTCACTAATGATCATTCTTCTCAACACTTTTCTCCTTGGTTTCTGGATTCGGCCACTACAGATCATATCACCAATGATCTTCATAATCTGAATTCTTGCCAACATTACCATTGTCCTGACAATGTCACCGTTGGCAACGGTACTTCTCTTGTTGCCATTCATCATACTGGTAAAGGTCTCTTACCCACTCTACATCATTGCTTTCGTTTAAATAAAATTTAACATTTCTTCTAATCTTGTTTTTGTTCAGCAATTAGCTAAGGATAATAACTGTTCCATTGTGTTTAATTATTCGTTGTTCTCTATTCAGGACAACCACACCAAAGCAATTCTACATAGAGGCTTTCATGCAAATGGTCTTCACCATTTTCATACCACATTATCACCATTGTCTTCATCTCCTAATGCTTTTTACAATACTACATCCTCTGCCTCTTCTCTTTGGCATAAGAGATTAGGACAACGTTCCTCTCTCAAATTTTCTCTTCAAAAGCATTTACCTATATCTTGAGTTGTAAATGAAGACCTGGGTGCTTGTGTTGATTGCTCAGTGTCTAAGTGTCATAGATTGCCTTTTAAACTTGCTAATTCTTCTGTTAATGCCCCGTTAGCTTTAGTTCATAGTGATGTACGTGGGCCCTTTTCTTGTACTACTCGTTTCAAATATTATGTGTTGTTTGTGGATGATTTTAGTCACTTTACATGGCTTTCTCTTGCCTATAAATCTGAAGTTTATTCCACGTTTATGGAGTTTAAAGTTTTTGCTGAAAACAACTTGGTTTTCCTCTAAAGATTTTAGATCTGATGGTGGTGGTGAGTACATTAATCATTCCATGCAATCTTTTCCGCATCATCATGGCATTCTTCACCAACACTCTTGTCCCAACACTGCTTCTCAGAATGGTGTTGCAGAGAGAAAGCATTTACACATTACTGAAACTGCCATTTCTCTCTTGCATCAATCTTCTCTTCCTCTTGTTCATTGGTTTGAAGCCATTGCCACAGCCACTTATCTTATTAATCGACTTCCTAGTGTTTCTCTTTCCAATCTTTCTGCATATGAAATTCTTTTTCACCATCCACCTGACTATTTTCATCTGAAAGTGTTTGGTTGCTGTGTTATCCATGGCTTAAGTCTCATGCTCCTCATAAACTTGCTCCTGAGTCTATCCCTCATGTGTTTTTGGGCTATCACCCATCTGTCAAAGGCTACAGATGTTTGGATTTTTCTAATGGAAAAGTTATCCTATCAAGACTAGTCAAATTTCAAGAAGATATCTTTCCTTATGCTACCATCCCTTCTTCCCCTGTTCCATCTCTTTCTCAGTGCCAGACCTTTTTCTGGATCCCTACCCCTACTTTCCAGTCCTCATCCTTGTCCCATCCTTGTTCTCTACCCAAGTCCCAGTCCAATTTGCCCAGGCCTCAGCCTAGCTAGAATTCTGTCCTCCAGCCAAGGTCTCAACCCCATTTCTCATTCTTCACCAGCTTCTACAGCTGAGCCCCTTGCTCTTGTTCCGCAACCTGCACCTGTTCAGCATTCTGCATCAGTTCTGCACTCTGTTCTGCCTTCTGCCCCTGTTCTGCCATCTCAGTCCTCTGAGCTCTCTCTGCCCCTTGGACCTCCTCTTTCTCAGCCTTCTATTCCTATTAATGCTTTCACTATTGCCTTACCCCTTTCTCCTCCACTAATCTTCATCATATGCAAACCCGATCTAAATCCAAACATGTTTGCCTCATGGCTTCTTCCTCTTCTGTTGTCCCTGATCTTGTCACCACTGAACCCACCTCTTACCAAGTTGCTTTATCTTCTCCTATTTGGTTTCAAGCAATGATGGATGAGTACCAAGCCCTTCAAAAACAAGGTACCTGGTCATTGGTTCCTCTTCCCTCTTCCAAACAATCCATTGGTTGTAAATGGGTCTTCAAGATCAAACGGAATAGTGATGGTACTGTGTATTGTATGCAGAGTAATAAGAATGGAAATGTTAGTGTACCATAGGTACTGTGTAACTGAATAGTATTACTAGTGTAACTGAATATGGTTAGGTTAGTGTTAGTGTTTAGTTAGTTAGGTTAGGTAATAGGTATATAAATATTACAGCTACTGTATAATGGTTTCTAATCAATGAATACACTTCTATATTTCTTCCGTGTGCTCTCTCCAAGGTTCAAGAATCAAAACCTCTTAGGTGCTAACAATTTCTTGGGCTTGGTGCACTTGTGAGAAACTCCTTGCCGAGTGCTTATGCACCCTTAGAGATTAGTTGGACTTTGATTTAGACACCCCAGTGCCAATTAAAAAAAACAAAATAGAGTACATTTGTTTGTTGCACCCATGGGTCACACCACATACATTGGTATGAGTCAATTGACGCCACTAAAATTTGAAAAATCACTGGAAAAAATTCTATATATATATATATATCATATTTGGATAATATTGACCCAATTAATTTATAAAAAAAGACCTTATTGCAATTAGTATAAAGTATCAGACTTTTAAAATTTTTTGGGTTAATTACAAAAAAAAATTCAAGCTGTGTTTGGTAAGCCTCTCAAATTATAGTTCCACCCATTGATTTGAGTGATGTTTGTTTTGAGCTTTCAAATCATAATTCTACACCCATTTCTCAAAATTCAATTCAAAACATAATCATTACTTTTCAAAACTCATAACCAAACACATAATTCAAAACTCTTTTCAAAACTCAATTCAAATCAATATTTTAATTTTTTTAATATTTAAATATTTTTAAAATATTTTAATTTTGTTGAGATTTTAAATATTTTAATATTTAAATATGTTACGATTTTTTAATTTTTTGAGTACTTTTAAATATTTTAATTTTTTTGTTATGTATTTGGTTACGATTTGAGTGTAATGATTTAAATATTTAAATATTTTAATATGTTCCAAAACTTATATGATTTGTGTGTAGAGTTGTGAAGGTAGTATGAAGTTTCGAGTTATGTGTTTGGTTATGAGTTTTAAAAATAATTTCTTAATTGAGTTTTGTTTTATGTATTTGGTTACGATTTGAGTGTAGAGTTGTTTTTAAATTTAAAATTTTAATTTTTTACTTATTAAATTTTTTAGATTATTTAAATTATTTAAATACTTATGATTTAAATTTTTTGAATATTTATTTTGAAAAAAATTTATTTCCTTTGTAGTATTTTCAATTAAAAATTGATTAATGTTATTTTCTGTTAATAATAAATTTTTTTAATTGAATTTTAAAAAGAGTTTGGTTGTGAGTGTTGATCAGAATTTTCAATAGTGTGAAAGTAGTGTGTTTTGTTATGAGTTATAACAATTTGAATTAAGTTTTGAAAACTCTTTCCAAAATTTATAACCAAACAAATTTTCTTACTTCACATGTCAAATCAAACTTTCAAAACTCAATTCCACACTCAATTCAAAACTCAATTCAACACTCTATTCAAAAATCATAATCAAACAAATTTTCTACACTCAAATCATAATTTCAAAACACACAAACTCAAAATACAACTTATATTCTCAAGTCATAGTTAGAAAGTCTTTACCAAACGGTGCCTCAAGGTTTCACGCGTTTTCACTCTAAACCCCAGTGTTTCAATTTCAATAAATTAAATCCTACAATTCATCCATATTTTATTATGCCCCCTCCGTCCATCTCCGTCTGTGTAAGTCCGTCTGTGTAAGGTAACAGAGGGGGTTTACAGTGAAAAACACGTAAAATCTTGGGATTTATTTTGTAATTAACCTTTTTTGTTTTTAGTGATTTTAATTTTGTAAAAATGGTTAATTACACAAATTTTTTTAGGTCATCTCTATATTTGTTTAAGTCCCAAAGATAACTAGATTTCTCTAAGTTCAAAAACAAATTCAGTGAGTCAACTCCACCAATCACCAAATACCCTTGAAATTTCTCCAACCAAAGTAAGGAAATTCATTGTAATTACATTTTTTTTTTTACAAAAAGATTAGTATGAATGCACTAAAATTTATAGAAAACAAATGTTATATATAATATTGATAAGAGTGAAAAAATTTCCTAATGGAATTTGTAGAACTTAACCATTGATTCCTAGAACCGCCACTGTTAATCATCTCTGGCTTTTCTCATTTTGGATGCAGGAGGAGACGGTGGAATATGTCAAACACAACATGTGGTATCCAGTTTACAGCCCTCTTGTTCATGAGAAATAAAGTTCTGATAATCTCTCTCTCTCTCTCTGTGCGAATGATATTTTCTGCAGACACCATCCCAACATTCTGCAGCCATTCAAATACTGATGATGTAACTGTAGTTTTGAAGCCTAGAGTAGTAATGTGGGTGAAAAAACAGAACTGGAGAGAGAAGGGTCATAGAAGTTGAAAAATAAGTGCTTATTGATGTAATGAACAACAGCTTGTAAACTTTTTCTTTTTTAGTTTTTTCAAAACCTTATTGATGTTTCATGTATGCCCCTCTTTTTCTAGTCTACTTCAATTTGGTATTTCAACCTAAATATATTTTGTGATGATTAAGAAAACGAACAGAAAAAAGAGACTAAACTATTAATCATGTCGTGGGATTGATAGCTTAGATAGAGGGTTTTATTTATTTATTATTATTTTTTGGGCCTGTAATTTTAAGAAAGATTTATCTTTTGTAGGACCTCTAACGCTGTGTTTGGTTGGGGAATTTGGGGAGAGATATGAAAATGGAAAGGGAAATGGGTGTGAAATTAGGTGAAATGTAAGTATATTTTATTCACATTTTACCTACCTCTTCTATTTCTCTTTTCAAATTTTTCATCAAATTTTTCAATTAAACACGGCATAAATGAATTGTAGATGTGAAAAAAGTGTTAGGCTGAAGAGACTGATTTTTCAGTTGAAATCTCACCTGAAACTGGAGGTAACAAACTTAATCTGAAGCTGTGAACCCATAACCCATACATCAATTAAAAATTAGTCTAAACTCGTTCAAGTATAGAAATGAGTTGAGTTGATGGTGATTTAAATGGGTACATTCTCGACCACCACCTCTATTGCTGCCACGCCATCACAACCTCCTCCACACCATCCGCAACATCCATCTCGATCACCACGACATCCACCATCTCAATTATAAAAATAAAAATAAAAAAAGGTTAAACAAAGTGGATGGGTTGGTTCGGTTGATTTATATTATTTGTATCTCATTTAATTAATTAAACTTGTTAATTAAATGAGCGAGGTTGGTTTAAGTTATTTTATTGCATAACTTGTTTTGATCTGTAGAAATCTATCTATTTTGTAATAACTCTCACACTGTCCTAACCATACTCATATGCATTCATATGATTCTGTTTTGCTAAGCTTGCATTTCAAGTCTTGTCCTTGTTCGCTTATGTGTTACAGCATGCTTTGTATCTTGCCCAGTGTGGGTTTACCCGAGGTCACCCTGAGCCTAGGTCAGTTTTGAACCTCTTGCATCTAAGACCATCTTGGAATTTACTTTGGTTGACTCTACCTTCGCTCTGACATGTTGGCCGAGATGTCACTATCTAGGTCGAGGTGTTCGTCGCCGAGGCCGAGATGTGTATTATCTAGGCCGAGATGTTACCCTTGAACCTAAGTGACCTTACTCCTGGATTGGTACGACCTAGACCGAGGTGTGGCACATCTAGGCCAAGGTGTGGTACAGCTAGGCCGAGTGTTGTCCTTTCTAGCCGATGTCCTTGCCCCTTGCTTGCTGAAGTCTTGTTGTTAGCCGATGTCGTTACTTGTCGGAGTGCACTTGCCGCCTAGCTTGTTGAGTACACTTTGTCATAGTCTTGTCTTTTCACTCAGTCACCTTTTTTAGTAGAACCAACCAGCCGCTGCCACGTACCCCTACAGAGGGTTAAGTCAGCCGACAGACCCAGAAAATATACATTTTGTATTATATCCTTGCCTTGTAGAGAGAGAAATTCTAGGAAGAAGAAGTTTTAGAGTAAGAGAGTGGGCTTTCGAGCTTGATTCCTAGAGATCAAACCGTTAGATTCGTGTATTGAGGTTAGATTCTTGATTTACTCTTGTCGTTCTTTATGTTTATCCAGCTGCATTGCATGATCGAACCTGTTCTGCACGTCATGCATTGATTTAAAGTTGGTTTTAGAAAGAGAACATAGTGTTCATGTGTTCTTGAAGAAAAAGTCTTGTTTGATCCGAAAGTTTGTATTAAGATTCATGTTTTTGTGTTTGTTCTCACAAGATCCTGGAATATGGGTACCCAGGTCTATGTTTTTGAATGCATAGTATGAAATCTCAGATTTTGTAATAGCAAATTATGATCTTAGCATTCATCTTCCTCATGCTCATGTTCTTCATGTTCTTCAAGAGAGGGAAACCCGGATTTTCCTGACTTCATTTCCTTGAATGTGGCCATCGAGGCCACACCTCGGCAAGGAGGTGTGGGACCTCGGCCTAGACCTGGTAGTTGCTCAGCATGTTTTCCCGAGATAAGGAACTGTGTTTTGTTTTGATTTGACTTAGTTTTTTTGAAGAATGCCGAGGTCATTTGCATGCATGCAAGACTTGTTTTGAGAAGTGCATTCAATAGACTTTGCCATGTGTTTGTAGGACTTGGACTCGCCTCGACCCTGACGTTTGAAGAACTATGTGAGTGGTATTTTTAATAAAGTTATGTTATTAAGTTTTGATAAAGTTTTGCCTTGCTTGTTTTGGAAAAGTATTTGTTAAGCATGAATGACTATCCCTATTTTGTGTATCAAGTATTAGCTTTGGTTTTGACAATCTTAAAAGTCCATACGTGCTAGGGGATTATAAGTATTTGTAGCACAATCTTGAAAAGTCCGTGCGTGCCAGGGGACTATAAGCATTTGTAGCACAACCTTTGTTAATGTCATCCCTTGGAACTTGAAAGCCTTGGATTTTGTACAAGATGTGATGTGCCTTGATTTGATAAAGATTTCGGATATCATTCATGTAAACCCCTTTATTATTTATACCATTCACTGAGTATCCAAGCTCACCCCTCTCTATATATATATATGTAGGTGACGAGCAGGACGGCGATAACGCCTAGATGTACTTGCCACTTGTTTTGGATTTTGCACTTTTGCACTTTTGCAGCATCTTGAAGATTATGCTTCTTAGTTGTATTTCATTGTATTCTTGTATTTGATGGCTGAGAAGCCTTTTGGTCAAGATGTATTTTTGTACTTCATTTTGTTGTATTAAAACTATGTAATGATGTATGCCATTTCATTTCACTTATGCACTGCTCTTATGGACTACTTAGCTTTGAATTTATTGCTTCCGCATTTGTAAGCCCCATATGTATACTCTGTTTGTGTGTGAATTTTGAAAGTTGGCCTTCGGTAATCTCGGATTACTGGCCATCACGGCACCATTCTACTATGGGCGGAATGGGGTCGTGACATATTTGTCAACTGATGCGACCACCACCTCTATTGCTGCCACGCCATCACAACCTCCTCCACACCATCCGCAACATCCATCTCGATCACCACGACATCCACCATCTCAATTATAAAAATAAAAATAAAAAAAGGTTAAACAAAGTGGATGGGTTGGTTCGGTTGATTTATATTATTTGTATCTCATTTAATTAATTAAACTTGTTAATTAAATGAGCGAGGTTGATTTAAGTTATTTTATTGCATAACCTGTTTTGATCTGCAGAAATCTATCTATTTGTCAAGTGATGATTGAATAGTGGGATGAACCCATTATAGCATTGCTCATTACCAGTTAAATAAGTCAATTTTTCAATTTGAATTTTGAAAAGAAACAAATCATTTTTCTAACCTCAAATATAAATTGTTAATTATGGATGACCTAAAAGTTGCAGCAAGTTCTATCAGATAGGTTCCATCAGATTATACAATTTATGATTTGATTGCATCTCAACAATTGCAGAGAGGGTCATGAGGTTACATTTTTTGTATAATACATATATCTATACACATATATAGGACAATGAAATCCACATGAAATTTTAAAAATTATTATAAAAAAAAAAGAGGAGTAATATAGATCATATTTAATTTGATGAGTCATGCATAACAAAATGAACAATCATACCAAGACACTGAGAACTATTTCAATATAGTCTTAAATACTGAAATGATTGAATTGTGTGTGTGGTCCTATGGACAAAGATTTTCAAATCTTTGGAGTTGTCTTTATTTATTATTTAATTTGTTTCCTGGTGGTAACTAGATGTCATTTTTTTTTTTAAACTTTGCATTAAGATTTATATTAAAGATTACAGTTTGGACAATGCTATATATATCACAGGAATATTTTATTGAATCGTCATATTCACCTTGTTTTGTTGAGTTTTTAAAATCTTTATTTTTTTTCCTTTAAAAAAATAAAAATTAGTTTAACAAAAAGAAACATCAAAAATTATTTTCAAAATTATTTTTTCTCCCAAAAGAGAAAATTGAATGAAAATAATAAAAGTATATATATTATCAAACTAGATTTTAGTTTTTTTTTGGAAAAAAGTAGTAGGTTTTTAAAACTCAACCAAACAAGTAGATTAATTTTAAATGGACTGGGCTTCTCGCTAGTCTTTAATTGAACTAGAGAGGTGCTATTGGGCCTACTTTTAGATCTCGTTTCAATAATCTGAATTATTCGCATTTTAGGGTTCATTGAATACATCATCTCTACAAAAAATTAAGTTGATTGAATAACGATAACCACGTGTAAAATGTAAACGACAGATCCAACAACATCTCTCCAATCCGATTAAGGACGGGAGAGAAGCCCATTTCATTTTAAATATATGGGTCACACTAAACAATTATTTTTTCAATTATATCTATTTAATCAAATTGATAACATCTATTAAAAATTAAACAAAAATCAAGGATAAAAATAGTCCATCCCAAAGGGAATGGATCTTTTAAAATAAGCATCAGCCTCTCAATCATTTTGAAGAGAGTCAGTGGACTATTTTTCCCTTCAATTTCAGTCAAATTTCTAAATATGAAAAATTAAGATAAAATTGATATAATTAAAAGTATAAGGACCAAATTGATATACAATATATATATTTGAACTATGAGTGTAATTTACCCTATATTTTTTAGTTCAATTCTCCTAATCAAGAGAAACAAACACAGCCTAACTGTAGATTGTTTTGATAATTAATTATTTTAGTTGAATTTTTAATTTTTACTGAAAGATATACACATAATAGAGAGAAGATTAGACTTTTTTTTAACAACTTTTTAATTATTTTAACCTATTATGGAAACAACCTGTATATGATTATTTTTTCATGTTTGGACCACACAAATTTCTACACATATAGTGCCAAGAATTTTGTGTCAATATCTCTACTCTATTATTTATTTATTATTATTATTTCTTTTGGGTTTGTTTTCTAGAGTACTACGACGCCATTCCTCATTTGTCTTTACCCTCCCTACCTTCCCTCGCAAATTTCCGAAGTAGATTCCTTTCCCAACTGACAAAACTGAAACTGAAAACCCATCTCTCTCTCTCTCTCTCTCTCTCAAACCCTAACCTCATCAGTCATGGCAGAAGAAGCATCCACCTTTCTTTCAACACAGAGGTACTTCACTTCATATTACCCACTCTCCATTTCTTCTCTTTTTAATAAGTCCATAATACTCTTCTTCTTCTTTTTTTAAATTCCCAAAGAACTCTCTTTATCAATTATATATCTCTCGAGTTCTTTCTTACTAAAATTTCTCTCAACTTTGATCTTTTATATAGATTATGTCTGCCCATTATCTTCAAATTTGAGTCTCATTAATTTTCAATTTCTTTATTTTCTCTTATCAATTGTTAAAAATTAAAAGCTCAAATTTGCTTATATCTATGTTATATTATAATGTGAACATTTAAGTTGATGTGGATCTAAAAATTAAAATTATATAATTCTTTTTTGGTATTCCGAAAAAATCACAAATTTTTTTTAAATCCAAATACTCATGTCATCAATAATTGCAAGGAGTGAATAGGAAAAATCTAACGGTTAACTCATCTTGTAACTGCTTCAGTTTTTAATCTTTGCACCGAATCTCTCTCTGTATGCAGCAAACTAAGGTTTCAAATATGGTAGAATTACACGCTACTATTATACAAAGCACACAACTCAGAAGTTTTGTCACGTTTTTTTATTTTTCCAAAATACCCATAAAATTGGCATCTGCAAAAACTTCACATCCTATAATTGCTAAACAGTTTTGAAATTCAATCCTCATTCATTAAACTGACCAAAAGTTCAGATGCACAATTGCAAACACATCAAAAGTTCAGATGTACAATTACAAACACATCGCGTTTGCATCCACCGCTAGTATAATATGTATGTAAACATGTGTTGTAGATATGCAGTTGTGACAGGAGCAAACAGAGGAATGGGATTGGAAATATGCAGGCAGTTAGCTTCAAATGGGGTGATGGTTGTGCTAACTGCAAGAGATGAGAAGAAGGGTATTGAAGCTCTCGAAAAACTCAAAGAGAATGGTCTCTCTCATCTTGTGGTCTTTCATCAGCTTGATCTGTTGGACCCATCTACTATTTCTTCACTTGCTGATTTCATCAAAACCCAATTTGGAAGGCTTGATATATTGGTATGTCAAAGAGGCAATTCTTCCTATCTTTAAACTCTTATTATCAATTCATCTTGCTATACCCCCAAAAAAAAAAATGTATGATTATCTTATACTAATATTTTGACAGTAAATTATAAGCTGACTTATTTTTTCAGTTTATTTTTGTTTTTAGTAAACATTTTTCAACTTTGACATATTTTTTTTTTAGGTTTGTCCAGACTAAATGATCCTAATTTTTTTTATTTATTTAAAAAAGGTAAATTATACTGACCTCCCCTTAAATTTAGAGAAAATACAGTAAAAACCCACAGTTTTGACATGATTCTTTTATTAAGGTTAAATGAACCGAAACTAATGCAGACGGTGTGAAACCACAAAAATAAACAAAATAAAATATATTTTCATTTAAAACAAAGACAATATCATTTTTCCATCCATATAAATAACAAAATATTGACGAAAAGGGGTTATGTGTTATGTGAATTAAAACCTGAAGAGAACTCATTGTAATTATGCTAAAATTGTGGGTCTTACTATATTTCCTTCAAATATTCAGGGAGGTTAAAGTAATTTACCCTTTAAAAAAAATTCAGACAAAAAAATAAATCAAATTTTGCAAATGAGGTTGTGCCTAAGACACAATTCTCACTTGCATTCCATTGATTTGCAATTACTCTCCCCTCGTTTTCCATTTATATAATATTGTTATATGTCTGGTTCTCTTTGGAATTGAAATATTTCAATATTTTAATGGAATTTTAAGCACAAGTATTGGCCTTTTATGTTATTTTAATTTCCTTTCAATCTGTAAATTAGATTGAAGCAGTTGGAGAGATATGCTGAAGTTTATTTAACCTATCCAAATCCTAAATTTTGTTAAATTACAAACAAGTTTGAACCTGCAGGTGAACAATGCAGCAATTGGTGGGATCACAGTTGATACTGAAGCTCTTAAAGCTTCAGAAGGGGTATGTTCTTCTTCTTCTTCTTATTTATTTATTTATTATTTGTTTTTTAAAGATTTTTATGTTAGGTGGTTGTAAATTTGGTTTGCATTCTGAATTTTGACTGATTCAGAGAGAAGGAATAGAAATCGATTGGAAAGCGATTACAAATCAAACTTACAGCATGGGTGAGAAGTGCTTGGAAACAAACTATTTTGGTGCTAAAAGAATTATTCAAGCTCTTCTTCCTCTTCTACTCTTATCTGATTCACCAAGGATCGTTAACGTTTCCTCCACTGCCGGGAAGCTACAGGTACAAAATTTTCAAAACTGTCAAACAATAAGCTCCATTTGTTTCTGTAGAAAACATTTACATTTTAAAGAAAATTCGTAGAAAATGTTTTTGTTGCACTCTTAAAACTGTCAGTCAAAAAGTAGCCAAAACTCTGGTAAGAAAAACAACCAAGTTTGATAATTGTAAGCTGATATGAATCGAGAGCTAATGATACGATGGTGGTCTAATTTTATTATTATTATTATTTTGTATTGAATTTTGTTTCAAATCAAGGCACAGTTAACAACTTGAGCCAAACCAGCAAATTTTTTGCAAGACTTGTTTGGGGAACTTTTTTCAGAAAAAATTTCTAAGAACAACCCACTTTTTAGGAAAGACCATAAAGTTGTTTTCAAATTTTCCAAAACTGTTTTTGCACAAAAATGAAAATGTTGGGTTTTAGATTTCCAGAAAGACAAACAACAAAGTACAAACAAAAACGAAGAAAACGAAAACACAACCAAACATAACTTTCTTGAAAAATAATTTCCAATGGAGAATTAAGGAATCATAATTCCTTTGATTATGTGGATTTTTTTATTTTTCTTTTATAAATTATGACAAAAAGTAGAGGGATTTTGTTTCCTATGAGATCTACTGCATTCTAGATAGTTTTTGTTCTCAATATACTCATTTCATGTTGTTTTCGTTTCAGTATGTATCCAATGAATGGGCTGTAGGAGTTCTAAGTGATGCAGAAAACCTCACTGAACACAACGTGGATGAAATACTGACTGAGTTCATGAAAGATTTCAAAGAAGATCAGTTAGAATCCAAGAACTGGCCTACTTATCTCTCAGCATACATCTTATCGAAAGCGGCCATGAATGCCTACACGAGGATACTGGCGAAGACACATTCACACTTGATGATTAACTGTGTCTGCCCCGGCTATGTCAAAACTAACAGTTATGCCGGTCTCTTGACTGTTGAAGAAGGTGCTTCAAGTCCTGTGAGACTTGCTCTATTGCCTCAGGGTGGGCCTTCTGGCGTGTTTTTCTCTCAAAAAGAAGTTTCATCTTTCAACTGAAATCGCAGTCTCACATGTACGCTCTGTTTGTTTTGGCAAAAAATGTTTTCTTTTGTTTGGTTGTGACCTTGAAATAAATGTACTATAGTAGTTGTAAATAGTGAATAATGGAGGTAGTTGGGGCGGGAACAGCCATGGCAGGGAGTGGCAAGTTATATACTCCCTCTGTCCCAAAACAACGGTCGTTTTGGGGAATTTAACTTTTTTTGATAGTACAATTATTATACTTTAAAAAAAATTGATTTTTCAAAATTACACTTTGATAGTACATTTTTTGGGAAATATCAATGTCATAATTGTACTTTTTATATTGTTTATGAATTTAAAAGAAGGGCTGTATTATTTTTATACTTGATTTTTGAAGAGAGACTAATATTTTAGGACAATATAAAATAGAATAAGAGACTAATATTTTGAGACGGAGAGAGTATATTTTTACTTTCAATTAATTGAAAATCTTCCATTAGAGTATTGTGTCTTGAGCTACATTAGAAAAAATAAGATAAAATCATAAGAAAGACAAGAAAAGAAGCATCAGTGTAGCCTCAAGAGGAAAGAAACATCATCACATGATATGATGATTAAATTATTCAATATAGGGACACCTAAGTCCTCTCATGCCTTTGAAAAAAAAATTAAAATTTATAACAGAGTATTCAAGGGAACAAAACATTTTTTGAAATCAAAAACAGATTCCCATTGTCAAATCCCAAATTAAACTAAGTGAAACTGAAACCTAACTGAACCACAAATTGCCCCATAATTTTTTGATTTATTTCAATCTCAACCTTCTATTATGAAAACATGATGTAAAAGTGACATATGAGCTGTAGAGTCAATTCTATGACCAAAATGTTCTTTCAAAAACTGGTTTATATGCATATATTGTTGATATTTTTCCATAATAATACTAGAAAAATATATAAAATAAAATTAAATAGAAATGACAAAACAACCTTTTTTTTCTTAAAAAAAAGAGTGAAATACAGAATAAACTACAAAACTAAAAAATGTAGGAATGAACTAGATTATATCATGGAACTCGCATAAACAAAATCACTAATAGAACAAATTAGTAACACGGATAAATAAAGATTAGAACTCGTCAAGGTAAAACTAATTCTGAAAATTAAAGAACAAATAACAAGAAAGGAAGCAAACCGAAACTTGTGGTATACATAGTTTCCTTAAAACAGATTCGCCGCCTCGCCAGTAGGTGCTGGAGGAATGTCGATGTCGGTCTTCCAGGATGTGACGGTTGATACCAGCTACTACAGGAGCACCTCCTAGATAGCTTCGGTAAACTGACCAAGGGCAGCACTCTCTTTATAACAAGAACCAAAAAAGGGGTTAGCAAATAAAAGATGGAAAACAAAACCTTTGAATTTTTCCTTTGGTATAAACACATCTCCAACTATTCCACAAAAAGAAACCACAATTTTTCATCTCAAAAAATCTTCTCTTCATCTTTTTATTTTTATTTTTATTTTTTATTTTAAATTTGAGGAGAAAGACCTCTATTTATACTTGTAGGGGAGAGCATTTGCCTTGAAGACTAACATCAATAGGGTCATCAACTTTTCATCAAAATGTCATTAACTCTAGCCTAACTAGAGTTACAAAGCTTAAAAACTCATGGCTACTAATATGGTCATTAACTCCATCATCAAAAGATGAGAATTATAAAAGCCTAAAAACCCTATGTGTTTAATATATACAAATAAATATGTATATAATGATGTTTGAATAATTCAAACAGATAGTTGCAAAACAGATACGGATGTTGGGTCACAACCTGATCCAAGTTCAATCTCAAATACATACACAAGCTAATCCCAACACAGCACAGCCTAGTCCATGCTCAAGACTAGGTCCAAGTCTAAGTCCAAGACCAAACCTAGCACATGCACAAGCACAAGCACAAGTATAAGTCTAGGCATAGTCCAAACCAAGACTAAGTCCAAATCTAAGCTAACTTTTATTGATGTTCACTTTATGAGACAATCCTCATTCACAATTTAATAGTTTCGACTCATTATTTTTGTGTTGTAATCTTCTCACTTAAGAGAATACAAAAACCATTTAGACCCACCTCACTGGCAGTTGGGTCCCACTTTAATTTCACATTAAAGTTGCCAAAAAAACCATTATTATTCAACATATATCTCACATATGTATATATAAGGGAAAGGACTTGGTATGCACTTTATACGAAAAGTGCAAATTAACACTTGAATGAGATTTTGGTCATAAAATTCATATGTTCAGCTCGCTTTCCACCTTTTTCATCCACTTTTAATAATAAAAATGTTAACAAAAGGTTGAAATTGAAACAAATAAAAATATTAGGGGGCAAAATGTAATGATTCTTAGTTGAAAGGGTAAAGTGATAATAACCCATAATAAAAGGGGTAAAATGTAATTTTCTCTATTATTAAAATTATCCAGAAATCAGAAATGGATTCCTGTTGTTAAATGCTAAATTAAACAAAGTGAACATTAAAGCTAACTAAACCACAATTCTCTACAAACCTAAAACCCATCTGCCCCTCACTCTCTCTCCAATTCTAATCTCATCAACCATGGCAGAAGCATCCACTTTTCTTGCAACAAGGAGGTATTTAATACAATCAAATATCTGTTTGGTTTATTTTTGTTTTCATTTTCAGAAAACATAGAAAACTTGTTTGACCATTTGTTTCTCCAAAAACAAAACAAAAACAAACAGTTTTTGGGAACTTTTCTTAAAATAACCAACTTTTTTGAAAATACCCAAAAAAATATTTTCAAAACTATTTCCACACTAAAAAAGAAGAAGAAGAAGAAGAAAATAATGGGTGTTTTCAAAATTCTGATTGTTTTTGTTTCTAGAAACACAAAAACTAAATAACTAGTAGTTATGTATATCTTCTCAAGATATTGATAGCTTTGCCAAAAAATTCTTTAGCTATTGAATAATTTAATATATTTTGTTTTTGTTTTTGTTTTGGGTTTCAGGTATGCAGTTGTGACAGGAGCAAATAGAGGGATGGGGTTTGAAATATGTAGGCAGCTAGCTTCAAAAGGAGTCATGGTGGTGATGACTGCAAGAGATGAGAAAAAGGGCATAGAAGCACTTGAAAAATTCAAGGAGTTTGGTCTTTCTGAGCTTGTAATGTTTCATCAGCTTGATGTGGTTGATCCCTCTAGTGTTGCTTCCCTTGCTCATTTCATCAAGATCCAATTTGGAAAACTCGACATACTAGTATGATCCAAAAACCCTTTATTACTTCATATTTTTCGAACTCTTTCTTAGTCATTGTGAATTTAACTGTTGGGTATCATGAATCCCGATAACTACTGGACATTGACTACTCAATCCCAAATCCAATTTGCAGGGTAGAGCCCCTTGCCCAATTGAATTTGGTATAAGGGTATTTTTGATCTTTCTACACTTGTGACCTTATAAGGGTAGGTTGATTTTATAGATGAATTGCTCTATTCACAATCCATAATTTCATAAGAATGTGTTGATCATTGGTATGGAATTCTCTATCTAATGCACTATATTCCTTTTCCAATCACCAAGAAAATATGAATTGGAATCAGGGAAGAGAGAAAATATTCAAAACCACCATGGGTTATAACCATAAACACTACAAAGTCTTTGAAAATTATTGTTTTTGTTTAGGACCGCTTAATTGAGCATAGTCTATTGATTGCCTTTTTTTAGCAATTACAGTATTAATTTTTAATCATAATTGTTTTTGAACACATAACCCATTTGATATATTTATTTGAAATCATAAAAACAATTCATGAGATACGGTATGCAAGAATTGATAGAAAGCATGCTTAGATATTTTTTTTTCCTTTCCTTTTGGAATGTTTTTAGGCACAAGTCATTCGCTAATTGTCTTATATGAAAATGAATTAAAATAGCGAATGACCCGTGCTTGATTGGGGATAAAAAGATCTTAGTATCTTTGTAGAATTTTCACCAAGATTGCTTACAGAAATTGCAGGGTAAGTCATTTTTTTTTATATTTTTATTTCTTCGCATTTTGATTGTAACTCATTAAGTATTTTCTATCCGTGACACTTAATTACTGGAATTAATTTAGGAAAAATTGCAAATTAGTGGTAAGACAAAAAAAAATTGCAAAATCATGGAAAACTTTATCACTTAAATTATTAAAGTTGATAAGTTTTACTATTGATTTGCAATTTTCCTATTAATTTTTAGATTTTATTATCGATTTTGCTATCAATGGTTTTATTTCGAAAAGTGGAGAGACGAGTTGACTTTTTGCTATTCGTTTTAAATTCTCAAAAGATGTACAAGTGATTTAGAAAAAAACATTTGACTGTTATGTATGATTGCTACTTTTTGTAAGGTTGTTATTTTTTGTACAAGTGATTTAATATTTTTCATGGATGTACAAGTGATTTAGCATTTTCATGGATGTACAAGTGATTTAGTATTGCTCAAAAAATGTACAAGTGATTTAGTATTAATCAAAAAATATTGTTAATTGCTCAATGACTCAATGTCTAGCTTTATATTGAACTGCCTAGGTATATTAGTTGTTTCTCAACTTAATTAGTTATATCTGAAAATTTTCATAATATTTGTAGGTTTTTGGTTGATGTCAGGTTGTGTTGGGAGTACATTTTTCCTAGATTTTTCTCACGTAGTTTCAGGTTTATAATTTGCAAAGAACTATTACAATGCGATTTGCAGCAGTAGCACCAGCAGGTGTACATTGCTTAGTATTTAAATTATTTTTTCTAGATTACAGAGCACTGGTTGGTGTGCATTTCAATTTTAATTTTCTTAGATTGCAGAGCAATAGCTGGTGTGCGTTGGTTGGTATTTAATTTTAATTTTTTTTTTTTTTTTTTTGAATTGCAAAATACTGGCTGGTGAATAGCTGGTGTGCGTTGGTTGGTATTTAATTTTAATTTGTTTTTGTTTTTTTTGAATTGCAAAATACTGGCTGGTGTGCATTGTTTGATGTAATTTTTTTTGAATTATGGAGTGTTAACAAATGTACAAAACCTTGGTTTGTATGTTTTGTTTTGTCTTTACAATTTTTTATTAACTTGCATAGCAAGGGTGCTTTTATTTTTAGATGTTTGCATTGATATGAAGTTTATACTTTATAGTCATAAAGTTTTTTTAATAAAAATGAAATGTTTATGATTGCGTTACTTGCCGTAGTTTAAATAGTTGATTGGGAAATATTTATTTTCAAAATATACAACCAAAAATATTTTCAAACTTTTTTAATAAAAAATCTTTTCAAAACTAACCAGACCCTCATTCATATTGACTTCAAATTTTTAGCAACAAATGAGATAAATTACCTTTTAACCCAATAATTTTATATTTAATTACATTTTGATCTCATCATTATTTGCACCGTGCCTTTAGGCACGGGCATACACTAGTACATATATATGCAAGAATCAGGGAAGAGAAGAAAATAATGTGATGCCTTTATTTTCTTTTATTATTATTATTATTTTTTTTTTTTTAAAGTGAACCATATGGGTATTTTTTGAAATAAGGACTCTGCAAGGATCAATGACTTGACTTCTATATTAAATATTTTTGTAGTTTTTCTACATATGTATAAAATTTGATCACATAACTTGACACAACCCTCTCATAGGAGGCAAAAATCATTAAATGTGCCATGTGAGAGAATTTTGTTCTGTTAATTGGATTTTGTACACTTAGAATTTTTCTTGTTATTGGTCGGAGAGAAATGAATAATGAGCAAAGTTGGAAGTTGCAGGTGAATAATGCTGCGATTACCGGAATCATAGTGGATAGTGATTTTGTAAGATTAACAGAGATTGATTTGGTAAGTCTCTGATTTTGTTTTTCTGCGACAAAAATTTGTAATTTTTGATTTTCGCAGGTAGTACACTTGAATGTCGTTTTGTTTTTTGTTTTTGTTTTCCTTCAAATTTTCTTGGAGTTCTTTAATAATGTTTCTAGGAAAAGGGAAAAAAAAGTAGCAATTAATCAGAATGCATTGTCATATGGGTGATATTTTCTTCTGCTTTTTTGTTTCTTTCATTTGTGTTTCGGTTTTTTGGGGCCAATGTTCTCGCAATTTCAATTGAACTATGAAGCTGTTTAGGTTGCCTGGGTTTATTTCTATTCATTCCATAGTTCTGTATAAAAACAGTAATTAATCTGAGGTTCTGCAGAGTAGGCTGAAAACATTTTCTGAAAAATAATTTCTGTATTTCCTAGCATTTGATACAACAAAAAATGAAAATTAATGAACAAACTTATTTGGGCAGAAAAAAAAAATGTTTTTCACTTTTAAAAAGTGAAACATATTTTTCAGATTATAAAATTTTACTAACCTCACTACACCGCCACAACCACCATTACTGCCATGATCATCCCACCAATGCCACCGTTACACCACCACCGCTACCACAACCACTAGCACAGTAATTACAAGGTCGTAACTAAAACTAAAAATGAAAAAAAAAAGTACCAAAACACACAGAGATTGACAACTGCTTAGTCTTTTTGAGTACCGGAACACCACAATAATGATATGTCAATGCCATTTTTGTAAATAAACGTCATCTTCATAAGTGCTTGGTTTCAAAATGAAATGTCCACATTAAATCTAATCATTCCTTACAAAAAATTTATATGAATTTTCTGTTTAGTACTTGTGTTTTACAAAGCTAAATTACATTTAGCTGTTAATCATTTGATAACTTCACTTTCACTAGTATTTTCAATAGGACCAAGACTATCCGTTGATTTACTTAACCTACACCTGATGACTTCAAACTATGATATGCCTTAGAATCATAGCATCTCTTGTGGTTGTAAATTCAAAAGTACTGTGATGATTTGAGTTATATATTCTTTTCATTGATATACACAGAAAGCAGCAAAACTCAAATGGGTTCATCACTTAATGACTCAGACTTACAGCTTGGGTGAAGAATGCTTAGAAATAAACTACTATGGGGTGAAACGAATGATCGAAGCACTCATCCCTCTCCTCGACTTCTCTGATTCACCCAGGATTGTTAACGTCTCATCCAGCTCTGGCAAGTTAAAGGTATTTAAAATGTAGCAAAACTGTACTTCAAAGTTCAAACCAAAGTGGTGCATAATGTGAGAGATATGAAACTTGTTTCATTGATCCTAGTGGATTTTTTGTGAACCACTTTCAAGATCCACTTGTAGGAATGAAAAATTATGTGTTTTAGTTAGATGTGGCAAATGGGCAGGTTAGGGCAGATTAAAATAAGTTATTTTGTATTAAAACAACTCAATTCAAACTCATCCATTTAATAAATGGGTTTAAACAAGTTTAGTTGAATTGGGTACTGGGCAGACAAATTAACCTCTTTACTTTATGACGAGGTGGTGGAGGGGTGGCATGTTGTGTTGAAGGGTCGAACAAATTAACCTAACTAACCCATTTACTTTATGAGGGGCGGTGGCGGTGGTGGTGTTGGTGGTGGATTCCTTACCTCCTTGTTATTTTTTCCAAACGGGTATAATGCCCAAGTTGCAAGATACAACCCATTTAACCCCGTTAACGATTTGGATGAGTTTAAACATAATTCAAATGAGAGAGATTAAGCAAGTTCAGATTTTTGTGTTAAGTTTGCCCCATTCTAGTTTAAATTTTCAAAATGAAGTCCTACAAATAGTTGATTCTAATTTTGTCATATTTGTTATTTCAGTTTTTACCCAATGAATGGGCGAAAGGAGTGTTTCTTGATGACGAAAGCCTTACAGAAGAGAGAATAGAGGCAGTGTTGAACAAGTTTATGAAGGATTTCAAGGAGGGTGAATTAGAAGCCAATTGTTGGCCTTCTTCTTTATCCGCGTACACCTTAGCGAAAGCATCCCTAAATGCCTACACGAAAATATTGGCCAAGAGACACAAGCAATTCATTGTTAACTCTGTCTGTCCCGGCTATGTGAAAACAGACATGAATTGCAATACTGGCAATTTAACTGTCGAAGAAGGCGGTGAAAACATTGTGAGACTTGCTCTGTTGCCTGAGGACGGGCCTTCTGGCTTGTTTTTCTTTCAAAAGGAAGTGTCCCCTTTGTGATGAAACTCAAAATCTTGCTGATAAGTGTAAAAGTACTTTCTCTGTTTACTTTATTTCTCTGTTTTTATAGTCAATAAAAGAGCAAATTTTGTGTTTTTATTTTTTGGAAAACACATATTGTTTGACTCGAAAACTATTTAAGAGGCGATTTCCAAAAATAACCCACTTTTTAGGAAACATCGACAAAAAGAAATTTCAGAATTTTCGAAACTGTTTTTGCATAGAAATAAAAATGATACGAAAATAATGGATGTTTTCAAACTTTTCATTGCTTTTGTTTATGAAAACTCGCAATCTTGCTGATAAATGTAGAAGTACTTGCATATGACACACTATGAACCTTCCTCTGTATATGGCTCATAAAGTATTTTACTTTCTTGGTTTTTATGTAACGTAGTGAATAAAAGGTGGGGGAGATAGACATGCTAGCTTGTTTGATTGTGTGTTTCTGTTTTTAGTTTTCATTTTTTAGAAAACAATTTGTTTGACGAACTGTTTCTAAAACAAAATTCCAAAAACAACCCATGTTTTAGGAAACACCATAGAGATCTATTTTCTCAAATTTGAAAAACTGTTTTTGCATAAAAATTAAAGCGATATGAAAACGATGAATTTTTCAAAATTTTCATTGTTTTGTTTCTAAAAATACAAAAAATGAAGATAAAGAAAATGAAAATACAAACGTTGCTAGTTTGGTTGCATTTCAGGAAACATGTTTTCATTTTCTATTTCCTCTACCTATGCAGATTAATCTGGCTTCTTAGAGGACAATCTGAAACTATTCTTTTTATTTAAATTACCTAAGAGGCCCTAAAATTGTTGACTATCAATTTCTTATCATGTTGTTTCAATTTGAAGGGTCCCTATTTTCATTTTGTTTCATTGTAACCCACTCAACATCTTTTGACTGACCATTAATGATGGATTTGTAAGGTTGGTGAATGCAACCCTTGGCTTGTGAAAACTTGTTTAGTGGTTCATTCTTGTCTGTTTACCTATGTATTTTGATGTGATTTTTCACTATCTTTCAGCTTTTCCATCATTTTCTTTATCTAATTGGTTAAAATGACAAAAAAATTTCATTTTAAAAACTTTGATTATGTAGCATATGTTTTTTGAAAGGGTGAACTGATGTGATGGTCGCCAGTGGGAGTGGTTAGACTGTTGCGGGATAGCTATAGGTGTGATTTGTCAGTAATCGAAACTTGCTAGTTTTCAAAATGATATTATATCCATGATACGTGAGCTTGATGTGATTTTTCACTATCTTTCAGCTTTTCCATCATTTTCTTTATCTAATTGGTTAAAATGACCAAAAAATTTCATTTTAAAAACTTTGATTATGTAGCATATGTTTTTTGAAAGGGTGAACTGATGTGATGGTCGCCAGTGGGAGTGGTTAGACTGTTGCGGGATAGCTATAGGTGTGATTTGTCAGTAATCGAAACTTGCTAGTTTTCAAAATGATATTATATAAATGGACCCAAATTGCAACTTTATGCAAAATCTAAACGACCGATTGAAACAATTAAAAGATAAAAAACTGAAATAAAATTGAACGTAAAATATAAAGGTGCAAAGCAAAATTTACCTAAGATCTAATAGCTTGGGGAGGACTATGCTGACAATGATCCAAAAACACGTGGGTTAGTCAATGGTAGGTGACGCTAAGGGGTTGATTTGATTCGGTGGACAAGACATGTTGGAATATCGGTTTCATATAGGTTTATTTTGGGCCATCTTTGAACCCAAAATTGAGTGAGCCCTAAACGTCTTTTAGGGTGGGTCCGAAGAGGTGACGTATTGCTTGCCGCATAGCAAGTCACACAGTAAAGACGGTTCGTCAACACCATTTATGAGTGAATGGAAAGTTGACGTCGTTTTCGGGTTCGTGGAATTGGACATTTAAAAAATTAAATGTGGTTTCCTTGTAAAGCTTGTCTCACATTGAAACTTGAAGAGAACTTATGTATGTAAATAAGTTCTAGGTGGCAACACTTGGGTTGGGCCCCAATGGGCACCCCAAGTTTGTAGAAAGGAGAAGTTATGGACAAAGTGAACCTTAGCCCAAACCACCACACACGCCGCCCGTCCGGGCACGAGTGTGGGTCAGGTCGGTTCTAATATTAATTTTTGGACAAAATTTATTTCAAGTTTTTCAAATTCTTGCAGGAAATTATTTGAATTTCAAATTGATTTTGAATTCAAATTTTGTGTCCAATAATTGTGCCTCTTTCAAGATCAATTCCATAACAGATTTTTGAAAATGTTTTTTTTACCGGACAGATTCTGTGTTCCCAAACAGATTTAAATCTTCCTTGGCAAATTTGAATAGATTTTATCTGAGGTTCAACAGGTTCAAAAATCCCACAACAGATTTTTCAGTGCAAACAGTTTTTCAATCTGTTCAAATCCGGACAGATTCATAACTGTCCAAATAGATTCAAAATCTGGACAGTTTTATAACTGTAGCAGTTGCAGATCTGTCCAAGGATTCAAACTGTATCTGTTCAGGGCTTTTCATACCTGTTCAGTTCAAATACAGCACCTATTCGGACAGATCTTTTGGCCTATAAATTCCATCATTTTCCAGCAGTTTTGGGGTTGGAAAACAGTCTGAAAATTACTTTTTTGCTGTCCAATTTTCTGCTCTGTTGTATATATTCTTCATATTAGTTTTTAGGAAAATTAAAGAGAGTATAGAACACAAGTTTTAGTGTACCGAACAAATTGTTTGGAGTGCTAGTACAATTTATGAAGATCATTATATCCTGGGAGATAAACGCCACTTAACCGTAAGCACCGTAGCGGGGTGAATTTGTCTTAAGGACAGAATGTCACACACTCAACTTGATCTTTTATTATTAATTTGGTTCGGTAAAATAAATTCGGTACGTAATTTATTTTATTTGTTTGATTTAGTTTCAATTTAAGACAAACTCGAATTATTCTGTTTGTACAGAATTTTTCGTTTGTTTCCTTTATTCTTTCTTCTTCTTACAGAAATTATTTTCTGTGATTTTACAAAATAATATTCTGGTGGGAAAACAAATAGTAGTAATATACTGTTTGACAGATAGTAGTAATATACTTCTATTTTCTTTGACAACTAGTAGTAATATACTAGTGTCATTAACAATTCAGAATATTTATTTGTGAAATTTTGTCAGAAATTAATTTTGGTTTTCAGAAATTATTTTTGAGTGTTCATTAATTAAAATTCTGTTTCAGTATTTTAATTATTAAAGTGTTACAGAAATTTAATTTTCTGTGTGAAATTAATTTGGTTAAATAAAATTTTATTTTATTTCCAAATTAATTGAAAATAAAAGTTACAATTCTTGTTTCTTTTATTTTACGAAATTTAATTTTCTGTGTGGAATTAATTTGTTTAAATAAAATTTTATTTTATTTTCAAATTAATTGGAAATAAAAGTTACAATTCTTGTTTTTTTTTTTATAGAATTTAAATTATGTGTTTTTTGGTTTAAATTTTCTGTGTAATATAAAATTTTAATTGTAATTTTGTTTTATAATTTAGAATTTATAGCTACTGAAACTGGTCAAACTAATGTTCAAACAAATACTAGTATGGTGATTGCCATTGCGCCAACCCCTCCTTATGTTGGGACTGTGCCAGTGAATCATGGTAAAAAGCCAGAGAAGTTCTTAGGAACTGATTTTTGCAAAGGCAAAGGAAAACCAAGTAAGAAGGTTGCTAAAGCTAATATGACCGAAATGGATAAAATTTTCAATAGTGTAGATGTCATAAATCTTTCTGCAATTGTTTCTGAGACAAATCTTGTCGAAAATCTTAAAGAGTGGTGGGTGGACACTGGTGCTACTTGTCATATCTGTGTCGACAAAAAGATGTTCACATCTTATTCAGTGGTGGACAATGGAGATCAACTTTTTATGGGCAACTCATCGACTTCTAAAGTTGAAGGAACTCACTTTCAACAATGTGCTATATGTACTGGACATTCGCAAAAATCTTGTATCCGAATCTTTGTTGAGTAAACATAGGTTTAGGCTAGTTTTTGAAAGTGACGAGTTTGTACTTACTAAAAACGGGATGTATGTAGGAAAATGTTACATGTCTGATGGCCTTTTCAAAAATGAATGTAATGACTATTGTACCTTTTGTCATTAATAAAAATACATCTTCTTCTTATTTGCTTGAGTGTTCAAATTTATGGCATGGTAGACTTGGACATGTTAATTATGGATCTTTGTGAAGATTAATTAATATGGAATGTTTATCTAAATTTAAAATTAATTCAAATCATAAATGTGAAATTTGCGTTGAGGCAAAATTATCTAAAACTCATTTTCATTCAATTGAAAGAAGTACGAAACCACTTGAATTAATTTATAGTGACATTTGTGATTTTAAATCAATTCAAACTAGAAGTGGGAAAATGTATTTTATCACTTTTATAGATGACTATACTAGATATAGTTATGCTTATTTAATTCGAACCAAGGATGAAGTTTTGAAAACTTTCATTCAATATAAGAATGAAGTTGAAAATCAACTTGGTAAGAAAATTAAGAAACTTAGAAATGATAGAGGTGGTGAATATGAATCACTTTTTGGTAGGTTTTGTAAAGAACATGGAATAATTCATCAAACCACCACTCTTCACTCACCTCAGCAAAATGGAATTACTGAAAGAAAAAATAGGACTTTAAAAGAAATGATGAATGTCGTGTTAATAAGTTCTGGATTACCTCAGAACTTGTGGGGGGAAACAATACTTTCTGCTAATTATACACTTAATAAAGTATCCTGAAAGAAAGTGAATCAAACACCTTATGAAATGTGGCATGGGAGAGTATCATCCTACAAATACTTAAAAGTGTGGAGGTGTTTGGCTAAAGTAGCTATTCCTAGTCCTAAAAAGACTAAGATAGGTCCTAAAACTGTTGATTGCATATTCATTGGTTATGCCAAGAATAGTAGTGCATATCGGTTTTTGATTTATAAATTAGAACATTCCGAAATGCATGTAAATACTATTATAGAATCCTGGAATGCATTTTTCTTTGAATATGTGTTTCCGAATAAGATCAGACAAGAGACTAGTAATAGCAAAAGATCTTTTGAT